GCGCCGAGTCAGAGAAACAGGGGTTGGTTTAGCAGGTGGTGTTTTCCTTTTTTTTTTTTTTTTTAACATGCACAAGAATGTTTTAAAGCACATGCATCACTTTGACATCGTGACGCGCATAGGTGTCAAATTCAAAGCTTGCGGGCCGCATCCGACACCTGATCATTTATTCTTGGCACCTGCCATCATTGTTCCTTGAGTTCTGTTCAAAACTAGTCTTCCATCATAAAATTCAAATAATCAAAATGCAGAGGCAGTTATGTAAAACACTGGGCCGATTATTCGGGTTCCCAGATAGAGGACAGGAAGTGTAACTGCCACGTGCTCTAGCCACACACCTCGTCCAAGAACAAACACAGTGCAACTCAGCCTCTGGCTAGCAGACGTCAAAGTGATTTCTTTTCTGTACCTCATACATTTTTCATAGCATCTTCAATCATACTGTTCAAACTCTTACTGTTGCACTTGTTTGCATTGTTGTTATCCTGAAAGAAAAAAGACATGATGTTGCATTTTCATATGAGCTATTGGGCTCTATTGAAATTTTCATTGAACTGTTTAAGACATGTTCTAAGGCTGGGGTCTCCCTGCACTTTTTGGTAGAATTTTAAAACAAAGACGTCTAACGTTTGAAAACCCAAAAAGATTAAAGTGATGGAATTCTAAAAAAGTTGTTTAATAAACACGTGGTTTGCTAAACATTTTGCTAAAGGCATTTAAATGAATCGTTGAAGATTTTTGCCATTCAAAATAATGACACCAATATTTTAATCAGTCTCTTTGTCTACTACCGATATTCAGTCTTGGTAAAAAACATATCAGTCTGTCTGTCAGTCTGTGACCCAAATGTGATTTTTGGCATACCATTACTCCCCGAGAAATCTTAAGTACAGTATTTACTGTACATGGTTTCACTGTGCGAACAGCACCCTTGAGAGCAATCACAGTTTCACCCAAAAGTATTGGAATGGTAATGTCAATTCCTTGTGGTTTTGTTGTATACTGAAGAGATTCAGGTTTTGCATCAAAAAATGAAAATATGAGACATACATTAATAGAGAATAAAGGGAGGAACCCCCACAAACAAACAAGAACTGAAAAAGGCTGCAGCTAAGGCCTGGAAAAGTATTTAAAATGAAGAAAGTAATAGTCTGGTGAAGTCAAAAGCTTGATGCAGTTACTGCAAGCAAGGGTTATGCCACCAAATATGAAATGTTATAGACTTTAAATAAATTGAATCATGTCCATTGCAATATTTTTGCTCAATTGGAAACTGGGTGGCTTCAAACAAAGTTGCTCTCTCCTGAGTTGTTGAACACATCTAGAAGTAAATATTAAGAAATAAAAGCTGGAACTATGAACATTTGTCTCATTCATCTTTTGATCTCAAACCCAAACGTCTTCAGTATACAACAACAACAAAGCAATTGACCTTGCTGTTCCAATAGGAACATAACAATAATGATGATGATAATTTGTTTTATTTAAAGACATCTTTCAGGGCACTCAAGGTTACAAATGACACTATGTGCAACTTTAAAGTGAATAAGCAGTCTGAAAAGGGTGCTTTTTGAGTCTGGACTAACGGAGCATTAATGAGTCCTTATTTCTGAGCTCAGGTGGTAGTGAGTTCCAAAGATTGGTGCCGAGCGGCTGATTGCTCCTGTCACCGATGGTGGCCAGATGGGCCGAAGGGACGATCAGGTGGAGGGAGTACAAAAAAGAGAATGGGACGGTGTAGCAATGTGAAAGAGGTCCGAAAGGTATTGCGGGCTGAGGTTATAGCGACCTTGAAGGTACAGATCAGTATATTACTCTGGACGCGCTGCCGGACAGGGAGCCAGTGAAGTTGTTGCAGGACTGGAATGATGTGTTGATTAAATACACCCCTTGTGTGCTCAATTTTTGCCCATTCAAAATATCAATCTGAGATTAATACACTTCAGTGTCAGTGGCTATCAGGTAAATTCTTTTGCACGTTGATTTTTTTTTCTTCCCCCGTACGTATGTCAGTGCGTACAATTTAATGTCTCTTGATAACAACTCCATTCTGTCGCTGCTTAGTTTCCATCTGCCTTCTGATCCCCGTCCTCAACTTCTCAGGCACCACCTCTGACCCCTCCTGATCTCAGTCCGCCTCCAGCAATTGTTGAGCCTGAGCCCGCTTGCGTGCCGCAGGTCAACAGCGAGACATGCTACTTCTGTGGCGGCCGGGTCTATGTGCTGGAGCGCATCAGTGCCGAGGGCAAGTTTTTCCATCGCGGTTGCTTCACGTGCCACCGCTGCGGCGTCACACTGCGGCTCGGAGACTACACCTTCCATCAGGACGCAGGTAACTTGTCAAAATACTTGATTGCAGTTGGTGGAAATACTTTTGTGCCTGCTGGCAAAAGCCTGTTCTAAAATGAATGTGTTTGATTGCAGAGGCGATTGCTCTAAGACTGCAAGGGAAGCTCAGCTTCCCCTAAAATGTAAAAAAAAAAGTGGTCAAATACATGTGTGTACATACAATTGCGTGTACATGTCATTGACTACATATGCGTTACAACGCGCTCAACTTTTTTCCGAATCCGCTTCTTATTACTGGTTACAACGCGACTCTCTTCTCATTCATTCCCGCAGCTTCACTGTGCTTTAAACTGTGTGGACGCTGAGCGTCGACCGCGCGGATGCTGGGCGTCGAGAGTTCAGTGTAGGTTGTCCCAATGCATTGAAACGAGACGAGTAATTGGATAAATGCTGGTTTTGTCCCGCCCACCGGATGCTCAGCGTCTCTGGGAGTCTATAGACAGTGGGCGTGTATCGGCTGGCCCGGACGCTGAGCTTTTCTGCATGATGATTGGATGATCTGTCTGAGGCTGAATCTCTTTTGATTGACAGCGAAATGAGCCAATCACCGATCTTTTAGTGTCGGCATCCGTGGGAGCATCTTTCAATTCTCTTTCTGTTCTAAGTTGAACTGGAGACTTCTTCTAATCATCTTAGCGACAGTCTCTTTGTTGAAAACGATTAGCGACGAATTAATCTTTTATTTCTTGTGGGTTTTATTGTAGTTGCTGTAGTTGTAGGACACTTGAAGTTATTTCAAGTCTGCTGCAGTATTTTTAGAGCAAAACTGCCAACTAAATCATGAATTTACAGATGTATAAAACTGTGTGCCGGATGCACTGTAGAAAGGAGACTTTCAAAGTGTCTAATACAACAGAAAAGACACACTCAGCATCTGCATTACTGTGTGGAACTACGGAGGCCAGTCCAGGCTTGATTATTCAAAACGAGTAAAACGGGTGTTTGTACACTTTACTGGGATATAGACTGCCACCTTCTAGCAGCTCATTGGAGGCAGGTCAGTCAACCCGCAATCATTCTGGCAGTGGTGATTGAATGACAAAATCCCCCCCCCCAGTGGTACTTTTTCTTAGCATGAGAAATGAAAGAAACAAAGAGTGTGGGATATGAGTGAGACTTAAGCTAAATGCATGAGTAGTGACAGCTCTGGAAGAGATGCAAGCTTTCTTCTTTTATAGGCACAAGACTTGTGTGCCTCTTCTTACTTTGTGTGCCATCTCTCTCAGGGAGATTTTACTGTGAGCTTCATGCTGAAGAACTGGAAGACGTAGCTGGAATATCTTCTCATAAGGTAGGTCAAGGAACACAACAGATGCAAAGTGCTGCATTTTTCTTGCTGCTGCTTGAGATGCATACAAGGCGTGCATTGTCCTTCTCTTGTCTGCTTGTCTTCTGACCCAGTCACTTGACAAGAGTCATTTTATTGTGCTCTTTCTTAAAGGGGAAAGCCTCAAACTCCACAATAGGATCATTTTCACTCTTAATAGATAGACGACTTTGGTCGCCCCACTTAATTATTTGAGGTCAAATAGCTGTAATGATGATGCACGCCACTTGTCCACCGCGGCAAACGTGTATTTTTTTTTTTTTTAATCTGACATGAGAATGGTGGCTAGATACAAGCACTATATGGCGCTGTAGTGATCTCAACACACCTCACAGTAATCGGCAGTTGGGCTAAGACTGAGCAAACAAAAAGAGGCTTCAAGCTATTCAATGTCACTCACAGTTGAAGTTTGGTCAAAAACTAAACATAAAACCAAGTCAATGACACAATGTGTACAGTATTTGAAACAGCCAAAAAACTAAGTAGTGTTGTGCTCAAGAACACACAAACTGAGACCAACACTGGCCCAAGGACAGAAGGGCCACGCAAGCTTAATGTTCATTAGCTTGTCATGTATTTTGCCGTGCTTGAATCTTTTTTTTAAGCAAGTGATTTTGAACAAATGGTTCAGCAGCCTGTAAACAGACAATATAACAGCACTGAGTGTTGAGTTGCATCTCCTTTTGTCTTCAGCGTTTTCCCGCTAAACTGTCTTGATTATAGTTTGTATTGTGTGCAATGGGATAAACCTTTTCAATGCCTTTTGTCCTTGTAGGACAGTAAAGGAAATGAAGAAAACGGTCTTTCCAGCGAGGGTTACACACCATCTCCGTCTGATGAAGAGGACGAGCACACAGTAGATTGCCTTCCTCCGGGATCGCGACCTCCAATAGCCGACCCCAAAGACGAGCCTCCCTCCACCGCCGACCAGCATGACCGCGTCGAGGAGACATACGTACAGCCCCCTCTGCCCAAGCCCCGTATCTCTCGACAGAGCGTCCCTGACCCCCGCCCCTCTCCTCCAGCGGTGAAGCCTCGCACGGTGCATCTTATAATCCCCTCAATTCCGAAAACCAATCAGCCGCCGGAAGCCGTGCAAGAGACACCTGAGGCCGCTGCCGAATCGCGGCCCAAGCAGTCCCTGCGCAAACTGAAGTTGACCGACGAGGAGAAGAATCAGCTGGTCAACCTCTTGACCTTCACCACCGATTCGGACTCAGAGACCCCGGGCGGCTCTTCGTCCGGGTCCTCGTCCTCGGCGACGGCGCAAGACGCGAGTCCACCCAAGACAGAGGAAAGACAAAAAGAGGAGGACTACTGGAGCGGCAGTACGGCCGGACACATTCGCGAAAAGAGGAACAGACGCTGCTTCCGGAGGAAAGAGATGCCCGCTGGGCAGCCCAGAGTACGGTCCAAGTTCTCCCCCTGGAATCTTTCCTCACCTAGGATCGGCAGAGACGCGCGACTCAGCGTTCATCAGCCTGGGAAAGTGGGTGAGTACGGGTCCGGTTGAGCTCTCGTTTCGCTTGCAACCATGCAAAATCAGTGATCATCTTTCCATGTGGACTTTTGGTGCAGATTTTCATCGAAATAAGTTGATGCAATCGCACCAAGCCAGGAGGAAAAGAGAGCATAAGACAGAACGTCCAGAGTTTGCGATTATTTCACACTTCCATAAATGATGAGCTAGGTGGTTAGCATTATATTTGATAGCCCTTACCCCTCGTTAGGCTGCGTTTTGTTAACCTTTCGATTCAATTGTGATTCTTTAGTTTGCCATTTGTTTTTATTTGATAGATTTAAATGCTTTGATGTTGATTCAGTGAGAAGGCGAAAAACAATATTGCTTTGCTCGTTGGCTGTTGCGGATTCACTCTTCGACCGTAACTTCATCTAGAGCAGTTTTATTTCGCTATTTTGCAGGTTTTTTTTTTTTTTTTACAACTTTCTCACTTCCAAGTCAGACCAGTCAAGAAATGTCAAATTGTATTTATTTGCAAGGAGGGGAAATGTGTGCAGATCTTGCCCCGCTCACATTTATTTAGGAATGTACACTGCAGCTTGGTACTAATTCTTTGTTGCATTTTAAAAGTTGCATTTATTAAGTGTAAGTGCCCCCACAAAAAAAAGTTTTAAAAAAAAGTAAATCTCTTCTTGGCAGAAATTCACCTATGGCGGTGCGCTTGCAAAGTGAGGAAACACTGTACGTGAATAAATACAGTACATGTTGAAAATGTGACTTTTATGACGCTTTGAACGTATGGCGTGTGTCACCTCTCATCTTGAAGTAATAAAACATCAGAAAAATATTCATGCATTTTGACAGCATGATAATTCTGTTTAACACTGAAAAAGTCAAGGAAAAACGGTAAAGCCTAAAGCGCCCCCCACTGGCCAGGAGCCGAATTGAATCTGAGGAGTTGCTGAATCAAGATTGAATTGGGAGTTGGAACATTGCAATGCATTGTTGAATCAATATTTTTATCCATCCCTTAAACCCGAAATGTCACACTGAGTTGGTGCCACTGCCGGTTCAACACGTTACCGTTTGTGTACTTGAGCATTTTGCCGAAAATGTTTTACTTTTACATCTGATGGGATGAGCTGTGGTTTGGCCCTCTTGTGCCGTAAAGCCAAACTGGAGTTGTTGGTTCAGGCCACCTTGTTTTTCGTCTTACTCCCCTACAGAAACGACCTTCAGACACGTTGACAGTGGCCCAGAAGAAGGCGGAGACGAGGACGATGAAGACGAAATGTTGGAGCAAGACGACATCGACTTAATGGATGAGAAGGCAAGGAGGACATTTTGAATTGTCCCGATTGACGCAACGACACGCGCTCACTGCGATGACGTTGCAGTTTCAGACGTTACCAGCCAGCCCGGTAGAGGCGGAGAAGTTGGAAGTGATGAAGATGAGGACGCTGGAGCGGCGAGCCAAGATGAGCGAGTTACAACGACTCCGACAAGCACAGGTGAGTGTGACGCCCCTCCAGTATGTCATCTTCTTGTTGATTCGAGCGCAGGAATTCTCAAATGTGTGCCAGTGCTACGCAGGTTCCCTGTAATGGTATGTGAAAGAATCACTGCCTAAATACAGTTCAGTCGGACAAGTTCAGGCACTTCACATTTGAACAGAGTATGGATATGTATGGTTTGAACAGATTTTTGGGAGAATCCAGCCCATGTTCGACTTGATAACGAAAGAAAGGAACAAGTTAGAAAGCAAACTTTTTTTTGAAAGAAGAGAATCTTGTTTTTTTGGTAGTTTAGGTGCTTTTATGGTCCTGAACACAGTATTCTGTGCGTCGTACCAGCCAAAATGCACTGAATTGCCCTGCGACAAGTGGCACTTTGCTATGAAAAGAGCCGCTAGTCATGACTTTAACATTTGTTTCGATATCATTTTTATCGAACTTTGAATGTGCAGTGCATTTGAATTGAATCCTTATTAAAGCCCTTTTTGTGTTAGTGTTCAAACTGTGCATAATGTTACAATAATATTACATTTACTTGAAAACTGCAGTATGGTGGAGTATTGGTTAGCACATCTGCCTGGGTTTGAATCGGGGCTCCGGCCTTTGTGTGTGGAGTTTGCGTGTTCTCCCTGTGCTGCGGTTCACTCGCAAACCTCGTGCGGGATAAGCTGCTTGGATAAAGGACGGATGGATAAAATAAAAACATTTTGTCTTGTTTAAAGGCTATGGCCTAATACACTACTTCGTTGGTTGGTCATGCTGGGAGTAAAAAGTTGGGCAACCATTACTTTCCCGGTGTATTGACACGGATTTGGTTTGTCCTTTTTGTTTGTGGCAGTCAATCCAGAGAAGGCTGGAAGAAATCGAGGTGACCTTCCGGGATTTGGAGCAGAAAGGCGTCGCGCTTGAGCGAAGTCTACGAGGGGACGCTCGTAAGAACCCGACACCACCATTTTTATTTTATCCATTATTGTCATATATGTTCAGGCAGGCCACTTTCTGCTCGCTTTTTTTTTGGGGGGGGGGGGTTCTTTTAAGTCTTGTAGGAGGCTGAAGCTATTTTTCCAAGATGTTTTGATAGGTTTTGTCTAACAATGCAGGTTGCTGGAGCGGCGAGCCAAGATGAGCGAGTTACAACGACTCCGACAAGCACAGGTGAGTGTGACGCCCCTCCAGTATGTCATCTTCTTGTTGATTCGAGCGCAGGAATTCTCAAATGTGTGCCAGTGCTACGCAGGTTCCCTGTAATGGTATGTGAAAGAATCACTGCCTAAATACAGTTCAGTCGGACAAGTTCAGGCACTTCACATTTGAACAGAGTATGGATATGTATGGTTTGAACAGATTTTTGGGAGAATCCAGCCCATGTTCGACTTGATAACGAAAGAAAGGAACAAGTTAGAAAGCAAACTTTTTTTTGAAAGAAGAGAGTCTTGTTTTTTTGGTAGTTTAGGTGCTTTTATGGTCCTGAACACAGTATTCTGTGCGTCGTACCAGCCAAAATGCACTGAATTGCCCTGCGACAAGTGGCACTTTGCTATGAAAAGAGCCGCTAGTCATGACTTTAACATTTGTTTCGATATCATTTTTATCGAACTTTGAATGTGCAGTGCATTTGAATTGAATCCTTATTAAAGCCCTTTTTGTGTTAGTGTTCAAACTGTGCATAATGTTACAATAATATTACATTTACTTGAAAACTGCAGTATGGTGGAGTATTGGTTAGCACATCTGCCTGGGTTTGAATCGGGGCTCCGGCCTTTGTGTGTGGAGTTTGCGTGTTCTCCCTGTGCTGCGGTTCACTCGCAAACCTCGTGCGGGATAAGCTGCTTGGATAAAGGACGGATGGATAAAATAAAAACATTTTGTCTTGTTTAAAGGCTATGGCCTAATACACTACTTCGTTGGTTGGTCATGCTGGGAGTAAAAAGTTGGGCAACCATTACTTTCCCGGTGTATTGACACGGATTTGGTTTGTCCTTTTTGTTTGTGGCAGTCAATCCAGAGAAGGCTGGAAGAAATCGAGGTGACCTTCCGGGATTTGGAGCAGAAAGGCGTCGCGCTTGAGCGAAGTCTACGAGGGGACGCTCGTAAGAACCCGACACCACCATTTTTATTTTATCCATTATTGTCATATATGTTCAGGCAGGCCACTTTCTGCTCGCTTTTTTTTTGGGGGGGGGGGTCATTTAAGGCTTGTAGGAGGCTGAAGCTATTTTTCCAAGATGTTTTGATAGGTTTTGTCTAACAATGCAGGTTTTCGCCTAATGCTGGTGAACGTAACTCCACTTATCAAATATTTTACAGCGGCTCCTCAGTTTACGATAGTTCCACTAGTTAGTAAATGTCACTAACCTACGCCACTGCACAAATGAGGACTTCTAGGCTATAAATATCAAACCATCCAATGAAGAAGTGTCATACGTTCTTACGCTCTCCACAGCAGACTAGTCAATGGCATGCTGTTGAGAAGCTCAAACTAATAACCCCCTTGTAATTTTTGGAACTACCTGTCCACGACCCTCAAGGTGTAATGAACATCTCATCTTTATTCGCTTCGACCAAATCTTCTTTCCCTCTTCCAGAAATCGATAGTTCCCACGACATGATCGAGCAGTGGATCCAGCTCGTCCACGAGAAGAACGCCTTGGTCTCAGAGGAGTCTGACCTCATGGTGGCGTAAGTGGGCATCTTAGTTCTCTTGTGCGCCCTCCTCTCTTTCTCTGTCTCTCTCGCTCTCTATCTCTCTTTCTTTCTTTTATTTCTCTCGGTCTCTCTTTCTTTCTAACCCAACCGGCCGAGACAGGCGCTCACCCCACAGCGCGTAGGTTCTGTTTGCTGTTTCTTACTGAAGTCTGGAACACACAAGGATTTTTTTTAAAGACATTGTTTGTTGTTGACAATCCTCCCATTAGGCATTTACTCTGTCTGTTGTTCTCCCATAATCAGTAAAGGTTCTGTTCCATCACCAATCGACATAGAATCGAGTAGTCTTCCAACACAAATCCTGTGTGATCAAATTTGGTTAAACAAAAAGGAAGAACAGGAAACGTAGCAGCAACCAGGAAACACAAGCTGCAACTTGGCCCGCTCCTCTCAGTGGTTCTACTGTATAATGTTATGCATCATGGTTAATTGTGCACCAAACCTCATCAGGGAATGCAGACGCAGACCACAAGATAACCGTGTGGATCTTTTGAAACATTGAATAATCGTTTGTCGGAAGAGTGCAGAATTGGGACAAAAACAGGCCGATTATCTGTGGGTTGTCTTAACTTGTTCAATGGCCAAAACGTTTTTTTCCATGTTTTTGAAGAATCCAGGCATTGAACTGCAGGTACAGCTTTTTGTATTTAAAAAAAAAAAAAAAAAAATGAAGTGGTAGGTTAGAGAAGGGTCTGAAAATAGCAGCCGCTGCATGAGTGTATGAGGAGTGATTTTTCTCAATGTGTCAAGTGTCATCACGCAATTTCTGTAATCTTAATTGGCGCTTCAGACAGTGAATGACATTGATGTGACTTGATTTAGCTGCATTCTGCCGGGTTTGTGGAGCATTCTTCGTGCACATCTGCTTTGGTGTGCTCAACGTGTGCATATTTCGAAGTTGCCTCTGATTTGATGTTGCCTCTTGTCCCAGGTCGCGACAACTGGAGCTTGAAGACAAACAGAGCATGTTGGAATTGGAGCTGAGGAAATACATGGACTTAAGTGGTGCGTACCTTCATTATTTACATGCGTCTGCAAGCCGTCATTGAAGAACAAAGGTGTCAGACTGGAGGCCCGCGGACCTGATGTTTCAAATTGCTGGTATTGGTGATTATTTGGAAATTCCGCAGCCCTAGACAGGATATTGGGGTTAAAGCATGGCCACAAAATACTAAATTGTGACAATATTCTAATTTGTGGCCAAGAAATGTAGATAACGTCTGGGTTCTTAGCAAATGGAGCACACCCCTTAGAAACTGCAATACCGCGAACCCCTTCATGTGCTCCGAACTGGCCTTTCTTTATTTTAAAGTCTTTCTAGACTTCACTTAGCAAACACTTTTTTCCCCCATATATAATGTATAAAGCACTGAGCTTGACACAACTTGGTGCGACTTTTTGAGACTTAATGTTCATCTGTGACTCCAGTTGTTTCTTCTGATTTTACGTCATGTATGAAAATAGATAACTTTGGCGACAGCACAGAGTGTGAAACTTAAAATCATCTTTCACCGGCACAAAGTCAGGATAATGGCTGTATTTCCAGATTAAAAACAGCAGTCGGTGAGGGTGTAACTTTTGTTTTGGCTTCCGTGTGTTAGACAAGACAGCCGAGCAGCAGGCGGAAGAGGATCGCGTCCTGCAGCAGATGATCGAGGTGGTGGACATGCGCGACTCGCTGGTGTCCTTCTTGGAAGAGAAGAGGCTGAAGGAGATCCAAGAGGAGCGAGAGGTGCTCTCCGTCATGGGGGCCAATCGCCATTCCAAGGCGGGAGGTCAGGTTCACTGGCAGTAAAAAAATAAAACTAAAAAAAAAACTTGAGGCACTTTCATACTTAAAACCCAACACAGCAAAGCCAAAGAAGATTTGACACTGAGGGGCTGAATGAAACGGCTTCCGTCCGTGGTGGTGGTGGTGGTGATGATGATGATGATGGTGATAATGATGCACAAACGGCGGATAATAATCGCCCAGCAAGGGACTTGACCTGGATTTGTCTAGTAAACATGCCGTCTCAACAAAGCAGCATGAGATGACAGCCTTGCAGATGATGATGAGCCGCGTGGAGGCTTTGAAAATGTTCCCATTGTGTTTGCTTCTTATTTTATTGTTCACTCATTCGAGAGAGAAGTAAGCCACGCGCTTTGTTTGGTTTTTCTTTGTACTGTATAGTCAATAAAACTTGTGGGAGGGTGGAACTAAAAGGCTTTTCAGTTACAGATTCGATTTATACTCTCAGCATTTCAGCAATGTCCAAAATCCAGCTAGGGATGCTGTTAGGTGGTCGGATTCATATAATCCAAAATGTTTTTTTTTTTGTTTTGTTGGGGGGCCGGGGGGGTTGACTAAAAAAGCCTTTTCCATTTTGTTGCCATCAAACTCCATTGTAATAATTTTGTTCTCTTTATTTTGAACAATTGTATTTTTTTTAATCGCTGTAACAAAGTGCTGTACATAAGATCGAAGAGAAAACACCATTGAAGTGAATAATAATACAAATATTGAGAAGAAGAATATTTTCTTTTGAAAATATAAATGCCACATTGGCAGTTCACATGGAGTTCCAGTTTGATTCCCTCTTGTTTTTGTACCTTTTTCCCCACGTACTTTCGTACATCTGAGAGTGTAACGTTTAATGTAAAGGTTGAGTTTGCAACAAACAAAAGAAACCGACAAATCGCCCCCTTAAACTACAAGACTTGTAATAATTTTTTCTTGTTTTAGACAATTATACTGTATTTATTATTCCACCAGTTTTTTTGTTTTTTTTTTCATCAAAATATTCAATAAAGGTCAGGACAGCCATACTGCTTGTTTCCACATTCAAAAAATGCCAACTTAGGCAAATTTTACACTTTTTTCAAAAAACTTTGAGAAGACTGTATAGCATTCAACAAAAAGGTGCTCATCTTTCTCATTCAAACTTTCAACTTTGCTGCTCATTCACAACATTTGGGGGACTTAGTTTCCACATTCCAAGAACCCCCACGTTCAAAAAATTGTGAATTTATTTAAATTGAATTCCCAGATTTAAGAGATACTACATATTTACCCTTCCCCCCTTCTAACATGTCTTGACTGATTCCAACTTCAAAACAGTCCACTCATTCGGGACTTCATGGAAATGGGTTACCGTTCCCAGAATTCCCAAAATGAGACTTGTTTACATAATCGTCTTCACACGTTTGTCGGGGGATTCAAATAATTTCAACCAGCGAGAGATCCTATTTCAATTACCATAGAAATAAGAGTAAAGCAAGCGCTAAGAATATAATTGATGCTCAGACCGGTCCGGAGAGTTACTCCACAAGGAGGGGCAAATTCCCCATACAAATGGATTGTGGGTTTGCCTTTTCCTTCCATCGTTGCTTTTGAGACAAATAAATTGAACCACTAACGATAACTATTCAAAGCATGTGCCAGATAGCATACATGGCAATTTTCCGCGGATCCGCGGAAATCCGCCGTTTTATTTCTTAAATTGATCATTTTTGTGAATCGTCTAAATCCGTTGAGAAAATTTTAGGGGCGGTCAGGTACCTTATCGTCGAGTTTTCACGAGCTCTCCCGAACAGTCTCTCCGTTTTCCGTTTGTAAACAGCCCTGCGATTGGACGTGTATGAAAGCTTCAACTAATCAGATCACTGAAGGCATTATTTGTTGCGGAAGTCTTAGCTCGATTATAAACGGCCCAGCGATTGGTTAACTACAAGCGATTGGACCAATCAAATTGCATGTAACATATTGTTTTACCTGATTCATGGCGGCCTGTTCGTCTCGCAAATTCATTGTTCTGGGATCGTTTTGAGCGGAATTATGAAATTTTTGACGAAAGATCAGGAGTCTTTAATCCTAGAAATTGACTCAAATGTCAAGAATAAATTCCGATTGGACTGGCTTGACAGAAAAGTCACTGTAAAGGTTAAAATTGGTTCCAAGTTCGACGAAGTTACAGAAGCTCTTGGACAATAAGCTTTGACGTAGCAGGCAAAGCTTATTGTGTGTATTGTAGTGACTTAATTAACTATGGCTCACGTGGATGCGTTGCACTGACAGATCATGCAACAAAAGTGAAAAAACATGCCGACAAAATCGCCATTCGACGGAGCAATTATCCTTTGGGATCGGCATTTTTCAATCAAACTTCGTCAGCGGATACAACTAAAGACGTTACGCGCTGGGGTACTTTGGCTGAACCAAGCAACGAAATCTGCTCCACTGACGCCCCTCGCCGATAGACAGGTACACTCCGATGTATATACTTTTTTATTCAAATATACGAGGATGATATTTTCACTTTTATTTGGTATGCATTTGTAGCAACAGCATGATAACATTTATTTGTTTTTATTTGCGTTTTATATTCATATTGATAATTCACGTTTTGTCTTGGATAATAAAGCACGGTTATGCATAATAAATTGTATGCATAATAAATATTCACTATCACTGTATGAGGTAAGAATCAACAGCTTTTTATCACATTTACACAACACTTTATGAATACAAGTTATGAACAAATCTTAAATATGTTAGGGAATGTGTTTACTTTTTTAGTTTTGATTTTGAGCAGCAAATTTGGAGTTACATATTGGTGCTCACCAGGAATGCATAGGCAAAATTGCACAAATTTTCACTTGAAAGAATAGTGGCGATCTTGGGATTTTTTTCTGTTCAATTTTCAAACTGTGTAAATTTAATACACTTCATCTTCAGCATGTTTAGTGCCACTTTTGTAAGTAACCACGCCCCCGTCCAGGCCACGCCCCGTCCAGGCCACGCCCCTTCCGCTTTTTTCATCACTCGCCATTGCCATGTATGCAGATAGACATTTCCTACCATTTTCGTATAAAGCTATAACTTTTAACTTACTCTTTTGAGAGGGTGTCACGTGTTAAGAGTACAGTATCATCCCCCCGCTACCCCACATACACACACACACAGAGGTCAGCTTGAATCTCGAAGGATGACTTTTTTGGCGCTATTCTCCAGCATTCTTTTTTTCTCCCCCCCCCCCCAAAAAAAAAAAATACAAGACTTCAATGTTTAAGCTCATCAAGAAAATGTAAAGCTAAGACTAAGATAACTAAAGCAAACATGTGGAAAGGGTAGTTACCCACACTGTTAAATCATAAATTTCCTGTGGCTGGTCACAGTTTGTGATCAGACACAAGCCTCCACACCTATTCAGGCAATAATTCACCCAAATAGAAGCTGTGTGACCAAAGGATGTCAGCCAAAAGATGCGAAAAAGCTGCAACAAAATGTCGTGATCCAGAGAAATTCAATAACAGATGACAGTCATTGACACGAATCAGTATGGAACCTTTCAGTCTCCATTTTGAAAAAAAAATGGTGTGTTGTATTCATGTGGATCCAAACATGTTTTGGCAGTAGTGGTCTACTGATAAAATTTGTCTGGATCCAGATGACCTTATTTCACGCAAACAATCGCAAAATGAAATTGAGTAAATCTGACATATTTTTTTTTTCGCGCTCGCGCTGAGAGCCATGATCCACAAATTGAGTAAGCGTGGAGCAGTTCAACTTCCCAGGAGTGAACAGCCTACAGAGATGACCCCAAAAGCACAGCGACAACTCCTCTAAAAGGTAACAAAGAAACCTGGGACTTCATCGAAAGAACTGCTGGCCTCCCGCAGTCTTAGGGACAGACAGAGTAAAAATGACAAACATGAACCAAAGGCTCCTCTTACCTTTTGCTAAACATTTCCTGTGGACTGACAAGATGAAAGTGAACTTCTTGGAAGGTATGTCTCTCGTTACATCTGGCTTTATGGTAATTTGATGGTCTGGGGCTGATTTGCTTTTTCAGGATCTGGATGAAACACATGAGCAAGTCAACTTCTGATGGGGAAAAAAACAAAGCAAAATTAAGGTGTTTGAAGTGGCAGTTATCAAAAATGCTTGATTCTGTTGTTGCTACTGACGGTGGCCCAACCAAATCTGCTTAAGGGGCATGCACTTTTTCCACACAGGGTAGGTCCAGATTTTTTTTTCCTTCCTAATAACAAAACCCTTCCTATAAAATCGTTTTTTTGTATTTACTTGTGTTGTCTTTGTCTCATATTTCAATTTGTTCGATGATGGGAAATATTTTAAATGTGACAAAATTAAACCGTAAGGAAGTCAACACTTTTTCACACCACTAATTATTTTTGCTGTTTCCAGTGTGTCATATAAGCTGATGTAGTTTGTGCTAATCAAAATACACATTTTGAACAACTTGAATTTGGTGAAATAACTCTGGAATACCATTCACTTCATTGACATCATTTCAAAAGAAGTTTTTTTTGTATGCTTTTTTGCTTTTGCTTTGTGTGATTTGTTGATGTTCAAGTAGTGCTGTCCTGCACTCATCATTGGAAGCGCGTTAATCTCCCATTATGTCAGCAACCAGTGGATTTAGCGTCGACAATCAACTTACGTAACTCTGTGAGCACCAAAATAACTTCCTTTGTGTACGACTTATTTCACGGCCTGATTGTTGCTTGGACGCTGGTCAGGATGCGGCACCGTTGCGTCACTCGTCCTGAGCCAAATTATAGGCAAACAGCGCTTGATCCATGGAAATATCCATGTCCAAGGACACCCACTTTGATGCCTTTCTGTGACTCTGACAGTCTCCCACAGAGAAGAAAAAAAAGTTGACACCCCCCTCTGAAAGCCAGATTTTTGTGACATAAAAATTGCAGATAAATCATTTCAAAATGAATTCCTGCATTGTGATTTATAACCTGAACAGCAGAAAAAATGGGAAACCTGTTTGAGATGCGAACTGGAAAAAAAAAAAAAAAAAACTAAAGTTAATGCGCTCCAGATGTGTGCACACCCTATTATTACTAGGGATGTTGCCTCTGATTAATCCATTTATTTTTTTTTGAAATAAGGTAACGCAATTCACCCACCGATGCTGAGGAAGCCACTATGGCCTATGTGACAACAAAAATGTCTGGAAGGGTTAGCCTACTAGAACAACTGAGCTTCATGTGGCCTAACCCAGAGGCACTGACTCTCATTTATCCTGAGTGTGAATATGATTGCTTCTTTCCATTAACACAGCCACCTAACCACAAGGATGTACACACTTATATCATGGTTATACCCCCACCCCACCCCCCTATTTTTTTTTTTTTTCACACTTAATGGTGCAACACATTTTGGAAATCATTTATCTTGGTATTTCATCACAAAAACCTGGCTTGGGCACAACTGGGGTGTGTAAACTTTTGATATCACTGTATTTCTGGCACAACCTGTTGATACTCTAAACTTCATGGCTGCTTCCTGTTTGATGGTGAGTTATTGTTGATTAGTTGTTGGTTGCTCTCATGATGTCAAAATGTGAACAGAATGGAGAAAAAAAAGGATGTGTTCTTCCATTTATGGATCGAGCAATTGTGAATTTCACAGATCTGCATGATGTTAAAGCCCAGCAGGTTTTGCAAAAAGCTCTGAGTAAAGGTCAGACCAAGTTCCCCTGTAAAAGTTAGAGAGAATTTTAGGTTCGCCCCAAAAGCCCAATATCCCAAACCTTCATGGAGAAGTGAATGAGAATCATGGATAGATGGATATGTTTTTTACTCAGAGCCAATATCGGTACTCATGACTGTTCAAGGATGCCGATAATCGGCAGGCAATATTCATTTGCAGTAAAAGGGAAAATGTTGGTGACAACATTTTGAATGGAAACTCCAACACTTAACTATCCATCCATCCATTTTCTGATCCGCTTACCCTCACAAGGGTCACAGGCATGCTGGAGCCTATCCCAGCTGTCTTCGGGCAGTAGGCGGGGGACACCCTGAACCGGTTGCCAGCCAATTGCAGTGCACACAGAGACGAACAACCATCCACACTCACACTCACACCGAGGGACAATTTAGAGTGTTCAATCAGCCTGCCATGCATGTTTTTGGAATGTGGGAGGGCCACGCAGGCACATAAAAAAACAAGAAAAACTCCACACAGGAAGGCATGAGGAGAATGCTCAAGTCCACACAGGAGGGCCCGGATTCGAACCTTCGTTCCCCTGCACAGTGGGAAAGACGTGCTCACCACTAATGAACCGTACTGTCTTGTATTCTTTTAGTCTTGTTTACATTTGTCACACAGTGTTTAAAATTCAACATTTTTCAATGTCCGTTTGGTCTAATTTTAGTGTGACTGCTCATCTCTGTTGTGTTCAAGCAAGGCCCCGCCTCTTCCTCCTCCTTCGTCCCCCTCCTCCTCCAGGTATATGCACCATCCCTGTCATGCTTGTGTGTGCACACGGTGGGAGAGTCACAGCAGACCCACAGCAGCAACTCTCTTGGTGAGTGCTGTTACACACACACACACACACACACACACGCACGCACGCGCACACACACACACACACACACACACACACACACACACACACACACGGATGGATGGATAGATAGATCATGATGGTTCTATTTTGCGTTCAAATTTGAATAAATTACAGATATTAAAATAATTAAATAAAAATGTGCTGATCATGTAAAATTTTGTAATTACATTTTAACAATGGGTGAACATAGAGAGGTTGAAAAACGTATAATCGCGCCTGTTATGTTCTAATGAAGTGCTGTTGTTGTCCTGGATTTTGCTGTCATTTTATGTTCTTGTTTATTGATTGTTTCCTCTGCTCTTAGGTAAAAAAAAAAATGCTGCTTGTTGCATTGATGAGCTATTTTGAGATGACTTGCAAGTAAAAGAAATCCACGTAATATGTTTCATTTCAGTCTAATGCAAAATCACGCACTGCTTTTCTTATGAGCTGCACGGTTGAACATCAACGGTAAACATTTGTGCATATATATATATATATATATATATATATATATATACACCACTCTGTACATATATACAGATATATTTTAGAGGAAACAGCTTACATAAGTTTTGTGTGAAGGTTTTGAGCACATCAAGACTCTAATCCGTTATATAAGAGAATAGAGGGCAAGAGAGCAAATTGGGTAACCTTCTCATTTCAAGTGCTCTTAATCCTCCTCTAATTCGTTTCCATGTCACATTCATGACGTTTGTCAAAAGATCCATTCATGCATCAAATATATTAAATGTGAACAGTTTTTTCATTTCTAATTCTTTTTTATTCAACATACACCGTCAGTGGTTTTTAGAAACCGGAAGCTTGAATTTAAATTTAAATGTTTTTTTTTAATGATTTATTTTGGATTTTCTGTAATCCACACAGAATCAAATTCAACCCAATATTTTAGTGGTTCTCAGGGGGATGCAGAGGGTGAGGCCAAAGGGGTCTCAGTAAAGGGGTCCGTTTATTTCATAAGTTTGAGAACCCCCTCGACAAGAGCATCCAAGTTACTACATGTGGCATCAAATGCTAGGAAATTCCCCGGCCAAGAAATGAATATGAAATGGGTACATTTATCAAGAACGCTCTTCTTTCGTGGGGTAAATGAAATAGAAATAATGAAAAAATAAAAAGTACACTGACTGTTTTAATAGTGATGTCGGGTAACCCCAAATGTTGGAGAAGATCTGCGCTAACATGACGAACAAACTTGTGTGTTGATGCTTCCGCAGACAGTCTGAGAGGCGACCTTCACGCGTGTGCGCTTTCTCATACAATAATCCCAAAAGACTTTCCGTTTAGCGTCGTCTGCACATGAAGCTCGGGATTAACGCTGCAATCGCGCGCGCGCTTCAACAGCCATCCTCCATTTGCCTGCGGCGCTTTTGCTTTGGCGCAACTGTTGTCCGGAGTGAGTCAAGTGACAGTGTCTCTCTCTTTTGTATCACCAAAGACATCCCAGCCGAGGCCCGCTGCAGACATGGGGCGTCAGGAGGCCGACAACTTGTGGAAAAAAGACACGCAAGACATTCAGGAGATTTTTGACTTCATGGAGGAGTTGGGATCGTAAGTGCACGCGTTCATATTTACCATTGTTTGCTTTTTATTTCTTTTCATTTCAACTTTCTTGTGCCATGGCAAATACTGAACAGGAGAAAAATCTCACAGCACACCACCAAACAAAAATAGACATATAGACAAACAACCGTCCGCGCTCATACTCACACATCGGGACAATCCATTCACCTGCCACGCATGTTTTTGGAATGTGGGAGGAAACCGGAGTAGCTGGAGAAAACCCACGCTGGCACGGGGGAGAACATGCAAACTCCACACAGGAAGGCCGCAGCCCGGAATCGAACCCTCAACCTCTGTACTGTGAGGCCGACGTGCCGCCCCTATTATGACTCAATCTTTAAAAAAATAAGTCATTGACATTTTGTCACGTAAATTATTCATTTAAAATTTGATTTTTTTTAATTAGCAAAAATTATACCATAGTAATACTCTTAACTCTACAGCATACTGAATTGATTTTAGTATATTTGTTTCATTGACACCGAGTGAAGTGTCCTCATTTGTTTCCAGTCTTTCTGTTTGAGGCCCCCAGCGGACAAAGTTTGTACATCTCTGCTACAGATGTAGAATTGTAAGCACTTGGATTCTGCTCCATAACTTTAAGACCCGCCAGTAAGCAACATAAAGCGCAATGGACTTTTCTTCGACAGCCCAGCAGTGAATTATTGTCAGGCTCTTTTTCCTTGTTCTTTTTTTTTTTTTTTTTTTTTTTTTAATGCATGCAACCTGATTTCTCCCCCACTGATCGCACGTCATGTCCCAATTTGAAGCTGTACGTCTGTCTTAGTCTTCAATGTGATTGAGTGTTTGAATGATTTGTCCGTTGGAGGCCAGACGACTCATTTGATGGGATTACGGCAACGGGGCCTACTTTACAGGCGATTTAGACAGTGGCTGTCGCAGGGCTTGTCTGACCTGGCTGATGGCATTGGGTTCAATCTGGCAGCCGAGGTGTCCATTAACAAAGACAACATATGGATCATTAAAGCCGTACTCAAGGTGTGTGATATGCAGACGCTTACCAGGACCCAAAGTTTTTTTTTGGGGGGGATACAATACTACTCAGGCAAAATCATGCTGCTGGAAATTGATTCAATTTCACTTCATTGGTTAGAAAAAAAAAAAAAAAAAAAAGAAGAATATAATAATTACTGCAAATGGGACAAATGATTAATCATTAAACAAACTTTCACTTTTGAAGTCCTTTGCGCCGAGCTCCCTCTCCAAGCAGGAGACGGTGGGAGAAAGAATAAATGGCAGTAAAACAGGCCAAAATCCAGACACTCGTGGGCAAGACGGGACAAGAGGAAACTTGCACACTTCTTGTAGGGGTGGTTTAATTAACTATTAGCATGTAAAAAGAAATCTCACGCTTTAAACATTTCTACTGGGGTCATCACTCTAATTTCCCTGAGCATGGCATTTCCGGATATTGGGACCTGAATAAAGAATGCTCTAAAACCTGCAGACTTCTTGCTCGCTCTGGGAGTTATGAAAGACCCGCACATGTCAACATAGGAAGGTGCAAGCTATGTAAGATTCTTTGAGAAAGGAGCGAAAACCTGCCATCTCAAGTAGTTCGTGATCCAGTGTAAGTTGGCCACTGTCGGGCGAATATGATCAAACTTTGTCGTCTTGCTGCTGCATTTTGTTTTACCTTCTGTCTTTTAATATTTAAAAGGCATGGGGCCGCAAATTTGTATTTTGCGGATCCAAATTAGCATTTTCTTTGTCACATCGCCACACAATTTTTTCACCTTTAATTTAAAATTTGGGCCACCGTAATTATTGTGTTGCTCATATTAAAACCCTCGGTCGCATGTTGTTCAAAAATGTAATGCATCCATGTGTGGGTAAGGTTCACGTTGTCATCAAGCCATAACCCAAAGCAACATGCGCTGTGCCGCATGCAAACGTGCTGAGGAGGCAACATGCTTGTTCACAGGAGCTTTGCTTCTCCCGTTACAGTGGCGGAAAGTCAATCCAAAAGGGAGCGGATGCACTTATTCTTTCCCATCGGGCCTCATCACAGGCTTCACAAACATCCACAGCCGCATCCGTTTGCATCCTTGGATGCAGATGGTCTCCAAGCCAGTCAAATGCGTCCTTTTACCCTTGAAGCATCGTGCCCTCGTTGCGGACGAGGCATTTTGTGAGTCTTTGTGTACAACATCGTATTTGAGCTTTCCTTGGGATTGATTTCTCTCGAGGCCCGTTGGAAACTTCCAGGAGGAACATTGAAGGGAAATGAGCTGCGGTAGCCATGGAAACAGCATTTGACTGATGGGAATGTTGCTGTCGTGTGTTTGGCTCACAGCTCATTAAGCTGATTGGTGCAATACATTGAAATAATAGCCGTTCACTAGTTGTGTGCTAGCTTCTACTCAAGCTTGAGTCATTTGGATTTGGCATTCAGATGCAACTTTCATCCCAAAGTGCAGTTCAACCGTACAGCCGTTGTTCTACTTTCTGTAATATAAGTGGAAATGAAATGCAAGACTCATGATCAACTACACAGTGAAAATTACAAGTGGAGTGAATCATGTCCTCCAGTTTTTCAGTTGCAAAAGTATTTGTTTTAAATAGATGACGTTAATATTATCAAGCTTTTTATTTTTGCAATATATTGTATTTTTGTAAGAAAGCGTAAAATGGTCGGGCAAAAAATATGGCAGGACAAAAGTTGGGCGTAAAAGTACCCACAACATCGGTAGTTATACTGTACATTTGGGATTCTGCTCTTTCTATTTAAATTTGCAATGCAGTAAATATTAACAGCAGTATTGTCGTATTGTTATTTACATTTGAATGTACCACTGTTCTTTTGGAGAGTGTCGATCATTTCCAATGACTGATTTCGATATTGTTAATCAACTCCACTTTGAGTGCAAGTGCTGCTTGTTTTCTTTTGTACCTAATTTACTTTACAAAATGCTATTCAGTTTCATATACACTTCATCCCATAAATGGGTCGTTTAGTGATTTTTCATCATGCTTTACATGAGCTGATTTTGAAGGACCTTTTCATTGGTTTGATGCAGTATGCAAAACAAAAATATTGTACGTAACATGACCAAATAAACCAGTTCCACCCATGCTAGTGCACTTCTCCGACACGTAATCGAGTTGGTAATGATGCGACAAACGAAGCATAAACCGTGTTTACACAAGAAAAAAAAAGAATGAAAATGCCTTAAAATGTGACCTTATTTCAAAATGTTGCAGCAGCCCTGTCCGGTGTCAAAGAAAATGCTGTGCCACCAATAAGGATTTAAAAAGGATTTTTTTTTTCATTCTTATGATTGAAATCTTTTTATTGCACTGCGCGCTCTTTTCGTAATTTTAGTAAGCTGTCTTTAAAAGTAGAGCGAATGACTTGGAGGAGTGCACGCCTTCATGGAAGTGGGTCACTGTCATGGGGGGGGTCCATCACGCCGGGTGTCAGCAAGTCAGCCAGTAGGCGCGCCTCATGAAGGTGCAGAGGAGCTTGTCGCGTCTTAAGTGGTCCAGTGTGTGACCTGCGGGGGACGAACATTTCCGTTAGGTCAGGGACGGAGGCCCTAATCCGCCCGCTGGGACAGCTATTCCCAGACGCGGCTCAACATAGCCGGGACACATCACCACTCATGTCCCCGACATGTGAACACTTCACACTCAGTACAAATGCTTTGCTACTGTACTTACCTGTACTTGACTTCAGGATTTATTTTACTGACTGCTTTTTCACTTTGACTGGCTGCATTTGAAAACGGTTATCTGTACCCCTCCTTTGTCACGCATTACTTTTTCAAATCTCAATGCTTGGAAAAAGAATTAAACAGAGGGAGAGTCAACTGCGGTTGAGATTTTGATTGGTTGGTGGGGGTACAAAAACAGGCCTTTGGAGTTTTTTTTCCCCGTGACGCTAACTGATCCTCCTTTAATATTGTCCTCAGATGTGTCTCAGCAGCCATGCTTTGTATTTAATCATCTTTTAAACCAGAACTGCTTTTACATGTGTGGTGGGTGTCCTAGTGGTTCGGAAACTGCGGGAGGGATGTTTTTGTCTTTTATCATCTCTTTTGGGAAGCATTGTGCCCTACTTTTTCAGTGCAAAAGGTCCTACATCATCATCAAGTATCTGTACTTAAGATCAGAGTGTGAGTATTGATTTCACATCTGACAGTCCAAGCACTTGAACTGAGTGCGTTCTGGTCTATTCCAAAGACGGAAATATCAATTTTGGTCACAGGAGCCACGTCGGGTGATAGGAAGAAAATGTCGAGCTCATCCTCTGTGTTTCTGTGCGCTCAATGAAACAGGGGGGCCTTCTCCGAGGTCTTCATGGTGAGGGAGAAGAAGACGGGAAGGACGTTCGCAATGAAGTGTGTCAAGAAGAAACAAACCAGGGACCTAACTTTGGAGAACGAGATCGCCGTGCTCAGGAGGTTCGTTGTGACCGCTCGAGACTGAACGGTCAGGCAGTGTGCCGCATTCTAGAACAACATTTCTTGAGTGCTTGACCGTCAGGCACTGTTTTTGCTGTGAAATCTGAATTGCCGGTGTCCGGTGTTGCAACATCGCAGATAAAGCGTCCAGTCAAAAATGGCATAGTGTATCACATGATCTTTCACCTCAAAGATTACATTTCCAGGTGAGATCCAGCCAGTTGCTACCAAGCCAAATTTTGACAGCACATGTCTATATATTGTGTTCATTGTTGGATGGTCTATTTTTTGACCACTGTTTTAACATTGCGCAAGAGCATTAGATTATTCATGAGCTTTTTGAATCCAAAATAATGATACATATTCATTTGCACAGAGGGACCTCCTTATTTTCAAATAAAGTAAGCAGTTGCATGCACATAATCAGAAAAGCACCTCTAAAAATGGGTTCAAACCACTACTTGGAGGTTCCCTTTTTCTCACGTTAGAGGCAGGGCATGTTGAAACAGATAAGGAACAAATGAATCCAGAAATCGGGCCTAATTCTGCAGGAAAGAGTTCAATGCAATTTTCTGGTTTGTTCTCATTCACTCCCAAAGACATATTTATATGTCTTTTCACACTCCACACGTTCAACCCCAGATATGTATTTTTTTTCCCATTTTTCCAAGACTTAGGGTAGAAAAAAAATGGGGTGGTACTGAATGAGTTATAATGCAGTCTTAAACATGAACCGGACAAACATTCATTCATTCATTGTCCGAACCGCTTTATCCTCCGGATAAACATTTGAATTCATAATTGTATGTACCTGTGGCTGAAAAGCGAAGTTTGGACAGTCTCTTGCAAGTGGAGACAGTGACTGGTGCGACCTTCGCCAACAGCCTCTCAAATATCTGCACTCTCATCCATTTCCTCTCCTTGTATTCTTCGAATAGAATCTAGCTACAGCATTCAAGGGCAATCCTATTCTTCTTGATATGTGTGCATGGGTCATTCGCCGGGCGTGCGTGTGTGAGTCGCCAACTATAATTTGTTCTAGATTGTCCACTTCAGTTAGGTTCTCTGCGTCGCTTGGTGTGCGAGGGGCCTTCAATATTTTTGTGAAATACTCTTGTTTTTCTATAGAGCTGTAGAAATGTTCTTAGATTTGCGATTTGTAGGATAAATTGGAGTAAAATGAACCTTTGTATTGTATTCTATAAACGTTTTCCATTTTTGTTGTGTCCTTGAACAGAATCCAACATGAGAATGTGGTGGGGATGGAAGATTTCTATGAAAGTCAGACACATTTCTACCTGGTCATGCAGCTGTGAGTAGAAATTGCTTGAGCGGCGCACACAAGCGGCACGAGTAGCATTTGAAATATTGATCGACACTGTTGTTGTGGTTTCACCAGCGTGTCCGGCGGCGAGCTCTTTGACCGCATCCTGGACCGAGGTGTGTACTCCGAAATGGACGCCAGTCGCGTGATCCAACAGGTGCTGCATGCAGTCAGCTACTTGCATCAAAATGGCATCGTGCATCGAGACCTCAAGGTACAACTTTGAAAACTAAATATGCACAAAATAAATCCCAGACGTGGCCACCGAGAAACATTTGTCGTATTTATTACATCCGGAAAATATTCGCAGCGCTTCACTTTTTATTAATTTTGTGACTGCCTTATTCCCCCCAAAAATGTCTTCCTTTGTTTTCCCTCAAAATTGTACTCTCAAATCGACAGACAGTGTTTTGTTATAACCCTGGCAAAAAACATTTGCGACATACAGAGATAAAGATACTGGATTTAGTTTGCTGCTTCCTCTTGTTTAGTACTCCCAAATGCCTGCAGTCGCACACAAAAGCTCTTGAAATAAACAGTAATTAGTAATTATACGAATTTACCATACACATACCCTTCAAAATGAATTTAATTAATTTCGAATTGTGACATAATAACTGCTGAGATTTTGCTTATGTTAACATGCTAACCAGTTAGCTGAGCAGTGTTGCACTGTCACTTAAAACGAAAGCCAAATGTCAATGTTTATCCTCTCAGCTGCTCCACATCATAATGACACTTTTAGCATATTAGCATCTTTTCATTGACATGACATGAAGGTGCACATTTTGTCTTTGTGTAGCCGGAGAACATTCTGTACTACAGCCCAGAGGAGAACTCCAAGATCATGATCAGTGACTTTGGCTTGTCCAAGATGGTGGACAAGGGTGTTATGTCCACTGCTTGTGGCACTCCAGGATATGTTGGTGAGGAAATTATATAGCAATGATTTATTCTGATGCATCATTATTACAATTTTGCACCTGAGAGGAATTACCTGAAAGTGATACTCGAGCTAAAGTATCTGAACAGAAAATTATTTTGGTACAAAAAGTTAGTCACCATGTAGAACATTACTTGAGTATGTGTTGTTTTTTTTTAACATTTGATGTACTGAAACATTAAAAGTAATTTTTGAAAATAAAAGCGATTAAGTGTTCCCAAATACTTTTATTTGGGAACGTGAATGGTTAGAATTGTGATTGTTTTTACTTTAATCAGTCTCATTTTTTTTGTATTTAGTTCACTTGAGTGGTGTCGTTAAAGATGTGCATGTTGGCTCAAGAGCCAAGTTAGCTAGCACACGTTAGCCTGACCACACCACGTCAACCATGACTGCAAATGCACCCAAAAGTGTGTCGCTTTTTTCTTGTTGGAACCACTACGGTGTTCACCGCTGTTGTTCCACCTGACGCTCTTTCCTTTGGATTGTGTCAGTACAGACACGACTATTCTTCCACTTTCTGCGCTACAGTTCAGGCATTAAGTCAGAGAGCACTTTCTTTGGAATTTGTGTTGTAGCAACGAGTAATGGTTTTTCGGAAATGTCTCGGAGCAATACCGGAGTGTGGAGTAAAAGTGAAAGGTGCCAGTGATATACTGTAATTAACAAAGTAAATCACAGACACATGAAAATGTGACAAGCATTTATTTGTTGTGATATGCTGCAAGACAGACTTGAATCCGAACTTGTTGAACATGTTTCACTCCTTGCAGCTCCTGAGGTCTTGGCACAGAAGCCTTACAGCAAGGCAGTGGACTGCTGGTCTATTGGAGTGATCACGTACATATTGTGAGTATCCAATCAAAGAGTCATCCCGAAGGGCCAGTGAGAAGCGTACATGTCAACAAATTACTGTGCTGCGATCACAACTTTTTGACAGTTATTCATGATAAACGCCACCCTTCTCAATAGAAATAAACCCAAAGAGCAGAAATAATCTCCCCAACACGCTCGGTCGCACATGTCAAGTCAGTCATGTGATGGCTCCTCTCGCTTGCACAATAGAAAACAGAATGAGTAGAAACGTATGGTGAGCAGATTCAACATTTAATAACTAAGTTTGACTATCCACAATGAACGTTGTTGGAACTTTTATTCAACAACTCTGCGACACGTGGGCGTGGACCAGTCGACCACAGGCCGCGCTTTTAAAATGTGCTTTACAAACATAAATCTGATTGGATGGAATATTTAATGTCTTATCTACAGTACATACACATACATGTAAATCATATAGCGATTATCTTGGACTGGAATTGTGACTAGTCAGAATGAAGTTGTAGATCTCAAAGTCGAATTAGAGATATTATTCCGAAATGGTGCAATGGCTGCCAGACATATCCAGTTTTGCTGATAAGAGGGGCTTGCCAATCTCCCAAATATTGTCTGCCGATTAATGCCAATCTCCACGATGTGTTGTTCCAGACTGTGCGGCTATCCTCCTTTCTACGAAGAGAGCGAGACGCGCCTCTTCTCCAAGATCATGAAGGCGCAGTATGAGTTTGACTCGCCCTTCTGGGACGACATTTCCGAATCGGGTAAGAGCGGCCAAGGCTCACGTGAGCACCGCTGTCTCTTGTCTCTCGTCCTTCCCCTCACGTCACCGTCGTTTTGATCAATGCAGCCAAAGACTTCATCCGAAACATGATGCAGAAGAATCCCCTCATGCGCTACACCACTGAGCAAGCGCTCAGGCACCCCTGGTGAGTGGAAGCCTTCCAAGCGTGTCAACATCTCTTTTCAAACCCTAACCCTGGATTTAAACCTAATTTGACTTCATTTGAAACCCGAACTATTTTGGAATGAATAAATAAATGTAAAATAATGATAATGTCTGTAACTTGAAAGCCTATTTAAACACCCTAGGTCAAATATTCCTGTTCCATTGGCAGATCATTTTGCTTGAGTTAAATAATATTGTATATACTATATTTCATGGCGTTACTTTTTTTCTTTTTTTTTTTAAGCCTAATTTTTGGTCATTTCGTCTTAAAGATGCACAGTGAAGAAGAGCATTCACGATGAGATGAAAGATGAATCGCTTCCTCGAAAATACATTTGTGCTTTTCTAGGATAATCGGAAAGACGGCCCGCAGCCAGGACATCTACTATTCAGTCAGCGTGCAGATCCAAAAGAACTTTGCCAAGTCCAAGTGGAAGGTCAGTGCAGGCTGATTTGCTTCCTTTGATTAGCTAAATCCATTGAGGACCGGCCGTTTGCACTCAATAAATTGGGTGACTGCCTAAATCCTCGATGATTAAGGGCAGTTGAATAGAGCTTGTTTTGTAATCAAGGTCGCTGATGGAGGCCTTTCATGAGCACTTCTCTTACCTAGGGATGGCCGGTTCCACTTTTTTTTTCATCGACCGATATCAATATGAGTCCTCAAACCTTCAGTAGTAACCCAATACCAAGTACGGAAACCACTAGTACTTTTGACAGGTTCAAATTTTTTTTTGAACCAATGACAGATCCTTTTGAATAATATATAGAAACTAATGGCAATTGTCTATTCTCTTTTTTGTTCGTGAAATCCATACTTGTTTTAAATTTAAATGAATAAATATACAAAACGAATTACAGAAAAAGTCCCAATCAAAATATGCGTGTGCCAAAGGTACAATCCTGGTGGAGTAATACACCTTGTGAATTGTTGTTATACAAACCGAAAGTTAATTGCCATGACTACCTTTCTTCTTTCTGGCGGAACTGGTTCTTCCTTGTGTTCTTCTTCTTCTTCTTCTTCTAAAGGAGATGAAGAACAAACAACTTCCGCCAAAAAGAAGATCACAAATAAAAACCCGCGATGGAGTGAAGCCGCGAAAACGGAACCGCAAAGTAGCGAGAGAACACTGCGCTTTCACGACTACCGTTTAACCAGCAAAACAAGTTTGTCATCTTGGTCTGAAAGCACCGTTTAATTCAACTGCGGTATCTCAGTTTGAACACTTGGGTGGCACCCACATAATGACGTACATGCTGAAGGAGAATAACAATTGAATTCACGCGGTGTATTAATGTAACATGTATAACGGGCTTATGAAAGCGTTGACAATGAGCCATGCTCTTGTGGCCGATACTGCTATGGTTGGAGGGATTTGATTGACACTTGAGCGTGGCGTGTTTTGAGCCTATTCTGCAGACATGGCCACAGCATTCGTGAGCGGAGAAAACGGCTTGATTTTTAATGATTCTGAAACCTTTTCTTCAAGGTCCAACAATTAATCAACTAATCAACAGCAAATCAGACATAAAATTAATCACCATTGTTTTAGATAATCGCTGTATCGTTACAGCCATTGTTAAATTTAAAATTGTCCACCTACTCCAATTTCAACTGCTCAACAACAAATAAAACAAACAACATTTCTGTAGTACCCCATGAATTGATTTTATCAACAATCATTAATATTTTGGTTGATTTTCTGACGGATGTTTCTGGCCACACCAGTGAGTCAATCATAATCAATTTATGTGTGTGCATTTTCTGCTATGTGAATTTGACATAGACCTGTTTTTAAAGTAAAGTAAATAAAGGGATGGAAATTCATATTTTGCATCCAATCTATCAATGAATTGAAAAGAATAATCACCTGATTAATCGCTGATTAAAGTAATCGAGAGTTTCGGCCTCAATGAATTGTTTTTAATCATTTCAATTTGACTGGCGTGTTCAGTCACATTGACAAGAATTGTAGCTGTCCTTTCACTTTACTGAGACTTGAAGCGCTAAAAATGTGGACGTGTGGTACGGTGACAGCAAGCCTTCAACGCCGCCGTGGCCATCAACCACATGAAGAAACTACAGCTGGCGCACGCCGCGGCCGAGCAGGTCCCCAAGGCCGTTCAGATCCCGGACATCCACCTGGTCAAGGCATCTTCCCCGGTCTCGCAGCGCAAGCGTCTCGATGTGCACGGCGACCTGGAGACCGAAGGAAAAATAGCGTCCCCGAACCACATGAGGCTGCCCGCCAGCCACGTGGACCTCAAGTGCCACTTCTACCCACTGAAGACCAGCCACAGCACACAGCACGCGCCCACCATCGCTGAGACGGGGAAGAACATCTACCACTCAGAGCCCGCCAACCTCAACGGGTACGTACCCGCTTCAGGCCGCCAGGCCAACGCTTGTGAGCTCACCCGGCGCTATCTCTCTTTTTTTTCCAGCTGTGGCAAAAACAGAAACGGAAAGATCCTTCAGACCAGCGTTTGCTCTGTCATGTGAAGCTTGGATCAAGTTTACTTTGAGAACAAGTACTCTCTTCTTGGTAGGTGATGAATTAATTTCACTTTCATACTGACAAACAACATGGCCGACTGATTCTCAACCACTGTGCGGTGACGTGAGTGGCCATCAGGTGTGCTACCGGAAATAAGCCAATTTCATTTCATTTTCACAAAAATATTTTCTTCTAAATTAAATGCTTTTCAACGAGATAAGACTTCTTGTGTGTCCTGTTCTTTTACCTCTTGTGGTACGCAAAAGAATTAGAATCAAATGTTCCGCTACGGGACATGTGTAACTCGGACAAAATCTAAAAAGGAGTGAACCTTTGCAAACTCTCTTGCTCTGAATGATGACACTGAGCGCCTTTGCTCTCTCTGCAGGTCACGTTGCTGCGCTGTGCAGCCCAGCAGCATCCGGCTGTTTTATGTCTACAGCGCCATCTGGCGCTGACAATCGGAAGCGGTTGATTTTCTGCCTGACCTGAGACGTCTGCATCTGCAAGGGCTGCGCTGCAGCCAGTGGGCCACATTTGTCACAGTGATGTCGTCATTTAGTTACGAAAGTGCCTAGGAGGCTTCCCCCAAAGATCAAGAGTAAGCAGCAGACATTTGCACGAAATGCACCCAAATGTCTTGATTTGACATGGCGATCAAAGAGCAATATGATGGTTTGCTTTAAGTAGGCTACTTTGCTCCCGGAGCTCTTGCGCGTCATATCAAGATTTTGGTGAAAAATATTACGCAACCAAACGTGTTATTGGGGTCTAATTAGTGCGATCCGGGAATATTCTACAGGAGAAAACGCAAGCACATCTGCTATTCAGAGGTTGTTTGTGGAGCTGTTTTTGTCAGCATGCTTTTGGTCTCTGTTGTTTTTGTTTACTTTCTTGAAGCAGTAATGTGTATATATTCACTGTTATATGTGTGTGGAAGTGATTCCTTCATGAAGTGTTCATGAAATAGACCCCCTTGAAATGGTTTTGTTTGGCCAAATGAATCACCATTTGGACTGATTTTTACAGGTGCCACAATGAATCGATAATTCTCGATTAAGTAACCATTATCGATTAAGTGACAATTGATTGCTGGGAGACCTTGTTTAACCCAAAAATCACTTGATAGTTTGGGCCGGGGCGTCGCCGACGGTCCGCAATCCGCCGGGTGCGTGACGCGCTGTGTGACAGGGTCTCCCTCCACACTCGATGGGCCCTTCGCAGGTGGAGCTGCACAGAAGGGATCTCCACTTGTCCCTCCTGAGATGGGAATAGTGGAGTTTGGTAACCATAGGCAGATATGAATAGAAACCGACCAGTAGCTGATCAAACCAGAGTATTGTGCGCGTACTCCACCCCGGGCAGATGGACAGCCCAAGACGAGGGACGCTGGAGATAGCACCATCGAGCCTCAATCCAACAGGCAGACTAAGCGGATGATTTCCTTTCTTCAAAAACTCATCAGATTTTGCAAACATTTTCATCCTGTTGAAAATGTAAGATCTGTTGCCTCAGTGGCACCCCCTGGATTTCTTTCGGGAAAATTTAGTCGACGAAGCCACTTTGTAGCAGCATGAAATTCACAAGGCACGTCTACTTCAAGTAGATGCATAAAAAACAGAAGTCATGTTGGAAAAAGGCAAAGTGTTGTCTGGCATTTGGGAATTATTTTGACCATTTCCTGTTAAAAAAAAAAAAAAAAATTTTTTTCAATTGTTGCCAAATTGAACCATGTAAAAGGGTTGTAAAGGGTGGACATTTTCCTATCATTTTAAATGGGGGATTTTAGAAAATATTCCATGTCGGAAACTTTCCATTCGAATTGAGTGTAATTTCGTGGAAATTACACTCATGTTATATTCAAGCAGAAATAAAAACATTTTGGGGGCTTAGAAGCAGACATGCAAATTAGATAGTGCTCTCTGCCCACGTGTCGGTGCAATACACAACCTAATGGCTCAATTTTATTCTTCCACTTTATTCGATGTTTCGTTTTTCATGTTTGCGAACTGTGGAACTGTTTTAGTTTTCATCATGGCAAGTTTGGCTCCCCATAAAACTGGACCTCTCATGACTCAGCATCTCCAAGTTGGAGCAGATGTCTCACGTGCGATGAGCTGCCTGAAATGACTCGGCTTCTAACATTCCAGCAGCCTTTAAACTCTATTTTCACATCTCTTGCTCTGTCCGGCTCACATCCCTACATTTAAACTTCTATTTGTGAGACTGCTAAGTGGATTGCACACATCAAGCTTTCTCACTCTTCTTGGCTCGCAGCCTGAATTTCATTTGCTTTTTGGTCTGTGCTTCATGGGTTAGAAAAATACATCAATTACTTGTATGTGCTTGCAAATAAATGCTGCTATCATGTCGATGGCTGCCACACTTTTTGGACAAAAAGAAAAATAGCTGTGAATGCTTTTAAATGTTGTACTTTTGATTTTGTGGAGCACATTGAGTTACCTTGTATATGAAATGCACTACAGCTATACAAATAAAGCTGCCTCGCCCTATAGTCAAAAAGCACCGTTATTTTTGTATTTTATTATCCGTGGTGCGATTTTAACATTTGACTGTAAATGTCAAAATCTACTTTTCATTTGTCTCTTTTCTCTTGCACACATTTTATTTGTAACATCTGCTGTATGAGTGCCAGAGAAAAAAGAACAACCTGGTGCAGCCACACGCTGCTTATTCAAGCAGCAGGAGGCAAAAAAATAAAATAAAAAATGGAACAAAGGTCTTCAAACAAGCTCAACCTTTTTCCCCCCCAGTGGTGATTAACATCAATTTCTAAAACCGCCTCAAAGAGCAACTTCCCGGCTGGCACAGTTAAAACACCATTTCCAGAAATATGTGTTGATATTTGCTTGCTGGCCTCGGGGGAAGGTCAGACGAGACTTAGGCTGCATTTTGTCTTGTGTGGAGTGGCAGGAAAATGTTAGAGAGTGATCTTGTATTTTTCAAAGCATCTTTGTAACCTTATGGAAGTCCGTCAAGTTACTCATGTACAGTGGTCAGGGCCAGCACGTCCTTCTCTGTTGGCCTACTGTCAGAAGCACTCACCTGCAGTACATTTACATCTTACGTGAAAGTGTATTCTGTTATCTTCATTTCATAGCATCTGTTTTGCTTTTTTTTTTGGCCATATTTCAGCTTCTGTGTTTTTTTTTTTTTTGTTTGTTTTTTTGTTTGTTTTCGGTTTTGGTTTCATCCATCCATCTGACCATTTTCGAATCCTTTTCTTATCCTCACAAGGGTCGCGGGCGTGCTGGAGTCTAGTTTTGTTTTCAGATTCACCAATTTCGTTGCGAGCATTTATGGCAAGGGTCTTCCATCCTATTTCTTGAGGGACGTTTTTTTTTGGAGGGGGCGGGGGGGTGGCGCATTTGAGTCAGGAGTGTTGAAGCAAGGAGAGATGGAAAACATCCAGGAAGCTGGCCTTTTAGGAACAGGATTGTAGACCGCTGGACTCCAATCTTGAACGAACCCTATATACATTCTATATAATCGCTAATCATCATCTCCGGTAAGTGCGATGTATCTTATTTGAAGTTTAGGTTGATGTTAATGTCATTATATTGTGAAGTGTTCCAAATTGATATTGTAGTGCAGCGGTTTGCAGTTGTTTCTCCCAAATATTCCAAGTGCCTCTCTGTCTGTTAGGATACACATTGTTACACTGTCTTGTGTTTTTGTATGTTGTATTGTAAAACTTTGATGTGAGAGTTGTGCTATTAAGTGCTAGATTAGGTCACTCAGGTACCCAGTGAAGGCCCAGGTCTGAAATGCCAATGTTGTACAACTGTCAACGAAGGCACTAGTATTGCATTCATGGGTGTTTGCAGCTGCCATTTCTGCTCCAAGTGGATTGGTGAGGGTCATGCAGATGCAAACAACGTGGACTCCAGTCAGTGTCGTGATGACACGACAGACGAGATGTGGAAGGTGACCTCGGGAGGTCGAGTGGTGAGAAATGACATCAAACGTCTCTGTGACAAAGATCAGACACGTTTCGCAAGTCAGCCTGATGACACTCACCACGGCCTGAACCAGGTCGAAGGTTTTGGCCGTGAGACGCTTCCCGCTCACAGAGTGGAGCGCCTGCACATTGCTTGGTTTGATTAGTTTGTTTGAGATGATCAATAATTTGTGGAACATGATGAAATGATCAAAATATTTCTCAATTAATGCAGTGCCGGTATTGGAAAGCAACGGTTTCTGTAGTTACTGCATACATGGATCAGTCATTCATGTATGAACTTAGGTTAGCTTGTTTTCATTTGGCATGCCTCATGACACACAATTACACTGGTCAACAAATGTCTCTATTTTTTTTTTTTAATCGGAGAAGCAAAAAAATACTTTGTATATGATTTTTTTTTTGGTGCTGATTCCGAATATGCCCTTGTTTTTATCTAGCACAACAGCTTCTAATAATAATAATAATTATTATTATTATTATTATTATGTAGCAATAATAGAATATCTAATATAGAAATGGATTTTGCAATATTTGTTAGTTTCAGAAACAGGTGGATTTTTTTTCTCCAAAATGACTGTTATAAACGCACAGTGAAATCCATATTGCCCAGGTTCTTACAGGTCGAACATTAAAAAACAAAAATGAAAATATCACCAAAACCTGATCTGCTAGAAAAAAACGTAAAGAATTGAATCAGTGTCAAAATACTGTAAGTGTAGGGACACATAAAGCTATCTGTGATTAAAATTTGACCAGTGTTATCTTTTTGAAAGCTGCAGGGTTTCTTTGTCTCTCAGAACACTTTGCCCTTTCACCCGAAATCTCCAACAACAGCTGCTCATGAATATGAATTCGGTAGCCCCTGTGGGAGTCGGCCGCTTTTCCCCTCGCATAAAAAGCGCACAATCTGCCATGGAGTGTGCCTGTAGTGCCTGATTGGGTCTAATCGGCAACAACACAACCCCAGGAAGGGCCTTTCGCTGTAAGTGCCTGCTTGCAGTTATATGTGTCATGCTCGACTGGAACAAACCGACTTTGTTGCCTTGGCTACCAAAAGACCACGCATGCAGTTTTAGGTCGGGCCGATTCTCAGCATTTTGACATATTCTGGAATCGGTCTTCCAAAAAAAAAAAAAAAATGCAAAATCAGACGGCTGAAGGGGGATTAATATAAAACTGCATTATTTTGTCTCTGATAGGGAGTAGCAAAGTTAGAGTTCCATTGCTTAGTGCTACCATCGTTTTTACTGTACATATGGCTGACATCAGGGTCAATCTGTCCAAATATGGTCATATTTTTTCACAAATCAATACTATTAGTCAGTCCGCACGAATGTGTTATTTTGTCAAATTATTGACAGATCTAAAGTGTTGAAAATGGCTTGCTCTCTCTGCTGATGATGATCTTCCTTCATGATTTGTACATGTAATAAGTATCGGTATCAGCTCTGAAGAAAACATATCAGTCTATCTCAAATGCAGTTGTTGGAGGAGATGATCCCGTTTGTCAAGGAGATGCGGCACCAGAGTGCCGGACGGGGTCTGCTGAAGATCTACATGCTGGGCTCCGCTCTGGTGGCGCTGGGAGTGCTGGGAGGACTGCTGGAGATGGCCTTCCTGCCATTCTCGGAGCAGCAGGGCACTGGAGAAGACGGTGCGGCGGAAGTGCTCGCAAAGGCCAAGAAACAAGTGTGCCCCAGGTCCCACACTGCACTGCTTTGCAGTCCAAACCTCTGGCAATGGTCACTCTGAGAAACTCGGCCAACTGCCTGCCCGCCTCCTGGGAAATGGACCTCTGTCCGGCTCGTGGCCCTCAGCCTGCTTGATCACCAAATAAAGTCGTTTTTGTGTGTTTTGTCACAAACTGTCCTTTATGACAGTGGTACTTAGGAGTAGAAATTTATCATTGAGAGAATGATTGTTAGTTGTTGTACTTGTAGCGTTTTTTTCAGGGATGTGTATGTGACTTGAGTAGTGATTTTTCGAACGCTGTTTTACGGCCCAACGTCGGCAGGAGCGCGCCCAACAAGATGTACAATATTACAAAAATGACAATTACATTTTTAATGAACGCTGTCAAATCATGAATAGCCAAACTGTGTACAATTTACAGTAATATTTTGTAAATGACTTGACTATTCACAAATGAATATTTTTAAAATATGTCAAGTGACAGGCGGAAGATCTGTACCTCCAAAAGGAGACTTCAAAGGAAAGTGGCATGGCCCAACCTGAAGGTACACTACTCACAAAAAGTTGGGATATTTGGCTTTTGGGTGAAATTTCAGGACCAGCCGAAAATGCATTTGAACCTTTACAGGTGAACTTAGTGTGACTTTCTCTAAGCTTTTCAGTGCACATGTCCAACTGTTAAATGTTTCAGGACTTTTTGCACAAGTTGCTGCTCTCTAACGGGGAGTTTAACGGAAACATTAATAGGTGTTTGATCCTTGAATCGACCAATGAATGTCCTGATTCAATTAGGGCTGGTGTTTAATCGGTCCTCCTCGTCATGCTGTTCACATTTTGACACCATGAGACCAAGATGACACCTAACAATGGATCATCAGTACCTTGATGCTTCAAACGGGACGTTCTCAGACGGAAGTGGCCACTGAGCTTAAAGTGTCAGAGAGTGTCATCAGCAGGTTGCAACAGAGATACTGAGAGACTGGAAGAGTCACCGAAAGAAGTAGACGTGGGCGTCCTTTGGCCACATCCCATGCTGATGACCCCTACATTGTGAAAAATGCCCTGAGAGACCAGATGATGAATGCTCTCACTCAATGAGAAGTTGAAATTTTTTGTTGTGGTCTACCCACCGTTGTTAACTTTTGTTTCAATGAATTGTTTGAGATGAAGAAATCCCCAGTGCATCCTTGTGTTTAAATGTTCTACTTTCATATGATATCACGGTAGCGTGAACTGTTTACATTTTCCATAAATTTTGCCTGAAAGTCAAATAGCCCGAACTTTTTGTGGTTAGGCATGGGGGTTTGCCTAACCAGTCTATCTGTGTTTTGTGGACTTGAAAAAGGCATTTGACTGTGTCCTTCGAGGAGTTCTGTACAACCACATTGCCGGCAGTAAGTCAGATTTGTTCCCAGTGAGGGTTGAACTCCGCCATGGTTACCTTTTGTCACCGATTCTGTTCCTCACCTTTATGGACAGAATATCTAGGCGTAGCTGAGAGGCTGAGGCGTTCCGGTTAAGTGGCCTCAGTATCGCATCTCTGCTTTTTGCAGATGATGAGGTACTGTCGGCTTCATCAAGCCGCAATTGCCAACTCTCAGTATCGGTCCAGTGTGGCGAAGGAGCTGAGCTGAATGGCAAAGCTCTTCATTTATCAGCCAATTTACATTCCGACCCTCACCTATGGTCACAACCCACAGCTCTTTACTGAAAAGAACAATATTACAAGCGGCCAAAATTAGTTTCCTCGGCAGAGTGTCTGGGCTCTCCCTTAGAGATAGGGTGAGAAGCTGCATCATCTGGGAGAGACTCCGAGTCAAGCCATTGTTCCTCCATATTGAGAGGAACCAGAAGAGGTGGCTCAGGCGTCAGGTTACAACGCCTCCTGAAGACCTCCCTAGTGAGGTGTTCGGGCATGGAGGCCCCAGGGAACACCCAGAGAAACTACTTCTCCGGGTTAGCCTGGGAGCACTTCAGGATCCTCACGGAGTGCCTGGGGAGAGTGAAGTCTGTGCTTCCCTGCTTAAGCTGCTGCCCACGCAAACCAAACTTGGACAAGATCAAGTAAATGGAGGGACAAAGTTGGTCATGATAGTGGTACTTAATTTGGACAGTCACATGTATTTTTTTCAGGTGGTAACACATAACGTCAACGCAGCACCGAAGTGGATGTAATTCTATTTTTTTTTTTAATAATCTTTATTGAGCAAGTCAGAATACAATTCTCAGTAAACAGAAAACAAAACGAACATGTTATTAATACATACAGTGGATGTAATTCTAGTTGTGAACATTGGCTGCAGCAGTGATCTCAGTCGCTTGAAAAATTCGACTTCCGCCCCATCTGGCGGATGTGGCGTCATGGGTACGCAGCCACAGTGTTTACAAATGCGGAGTCCTGAGAAGCAGCTGCAAGTTCACGTCGTAAAAATTCATCAACTTGCCCTGCGCGTGAATGAGTGTCTCGAAACGAGCGGAGCTTGTTGGAACGCGTGATGGCGGATCCTGCTGTGGCATCAGGAGCTTCGCTGGCTGCTGGCGGGGTGAGAAAGACTCCAATGCGGACGACAGACGAGCGAGCGAGCTTGCAGGCTAAGCTAACCTTCGACGTACATGCAACATATTTGGCTTCATGAAGCACTCGCGCTTAATCGCCATTTACTGTAAAGTTGTGCTCAATTAAATTGCCATTTTTGACTTGACCCTTTGAAGAATTGTCCAAGTAAATGTGTAAAATGGGCAATTTTTTTCCCTCTGTGTGGTCTGTTATCATCACATATTAAAATCAATTAGCGCGCTATGTCATGGAATTAGCCACGACGTTCGAATAATAAACCTTTGTATTCCTGAACCATCTTTAAAGTTCGACTCAAGTTACACTTACTCTGAACTGCTTATTTTCGAGTAACAGTGTATATAGAGTTCGCCGTTGTTCATGTCCTTTGCAATTTTAACCGGTGGTTCACTTTCTTTTGTTGTGTGGGATTTACATGAATGCCGTTCAAAAATACGATGTTGGTGTCACGTATTTCCTTCTACGTGGCATGTCACGTCATCGCTTTGAATACAAAATATAAAACAAATCTTATGTGGGGGAACTGTCACACTTGGTTTGATGCATGACATCGAAGTGAAAAGAAGAACCAAAGGCAGCCCTGAAAATGTTCGGTGGCTATAATTTGTGGTATATTTACTGTTTGAAAATACTCATTTTGGAGGAACATTTTCAAATGAAGACGTCAGTTACTTGCAATTTTGAATGTACTGTATTTGCTTTACCTTCCCAGCGTGCAGTTGGCAATAAAGCCGCTAGCAGCCCAGTGGACAACTACCATCTGGCTCGACGGCGGACCCTGCAGGTGGTGGTGAGCGCCCTCCTGACAGAGTGTGGCTTCGACTGTGCAGAAAAAGCAGCAGTAGAAACGCTCACCGAGATGATGCAAAGTTGTACGTCCCCATCGGAAACCCCAAAAGTCATTCCACTACAACTTGTTCATTTGTTATTAGAAATGTTCCAAAGAAGAACAGACCTTTTTGTTTGCAGGATGAATAACACGCACACACACATATTTTTTTTTTGCTTTCCCCCCAGATATAACAGAAATTGGCCGCTGTGCTAAGTCGTATTGTGAACACACAGCCAGAAGCGTCCCAACTCTCTCGGACACTGTGGTGACACTTATTGAAATGGGTGAGTCTCGTGATGCGTTTTACTCATTCACATGGGGAAAGGTAAACCTTAAATTCTGTGGGCTGTGTTTGTTTGCCTTCAGGATTCAATGTTGAGACACTGCCAGTTTACGCCAAGCGTTCCCAGAGGATGGTCATCACTGCACGTGAGAAGCCTTGTTGTCATCTGTAGATTTGAACAGCTTGAGTGAAAATGTGCCGCATGTGTTGACTTTCAGCTCCAGTCACCAACCATCCAATGACTCCCAAAGCGCTGTCGGCCGGACAAAAGCGCATTCACCCCCCTCACATCCCCAGCCACTATCCAGAGTTCCCCGACCCACACACCTACATCAAAACTCCCGTGAGTCAAAAGTCACATTCTCAGAAACAATGAAAAAACACATTTCTTAGCTAATTTATTGGCACTGTTTTATTGGAATTGTGCCACTGAAATAAATATGACAGGCAGTTGTACTATTGCACAATTTTTTTTTCTATTAAAAAAAAGTGGTGAGGGGGGGGAAACAATGGATGACAATTGGAATTTGTGTTCTTAAGAAAAAAAAGTATTTGAAGGCCACATCACCCAGCTCTACCGTAAAGTCCAAAAAGTTGCAGTAATGCATGCAGTGGCTGTGACCTTGAGCCGCCCTCCATTGATATGACCGGCCCGCGTTGTCCTCTGTGCAGACATTTCGGGAGCCTGTGTCAGACTACCAGGTGGTCCGCGAGAAAGCGGCGACTCAGAGGCGGGACGTGGAGCGAGCGCTCACGCGCTTCATGGCCAAGACCAGCAAAACCCAGAGCCTCTTCAAAGACGACATCACCTCCTTCCCCCGTAAGTCACCGCATGGCGTCACACCGGCTTAACTGCGGCTGAATATCGGTTCTTGATTTGCAATTTGCATGCTCATCTGTTTGCATGCTAGCTCCTCCCACTAGAGTTGCCTTAAAGAGGGTGGAACATTTTATTGAATTTATGGTATGGCATGGGAATTTAAGATGTGGGGTTTTTTTTTTGTATTCCACATTAGAAGGAATGGTATTCACATGGAAAGGTATTCAAGAAAATATAAACATTTTGTTTAGTCATTAGCAGACGTCAATGAAAGTAAACCAATTAAAAATCAAGATGTTTCAACTGTTTTATGTGTTAGTAGCATGTGATCAAGTTTGGAATATTCTCCCAATTAAATTGGGAAACATAATACAATGATTTGCAAATCATGTTCAACTTCTATTTAATTGAATTTCCTCCAAAGACAAGATCTGGAAATAATAATTCGTAACAGAATTTTATGCCTGAAACACGTTGCAAAAAAGCTCGGGCTGGTGGCAAAAAAGACTGAGAGTGTTGAGGAATGCTCATCAAACACAGGTTAGTGGCAAGGCCAGCTATTGATCGGAGCATCCTTCATTGTCATATTTGTTAAAACGCGGGTTCCCACGATTCCTGAAAGAGTCTTAAAAGACATTGAATCAATTAATCTAAAAAC